AGTAAAATGGTCACCATTATTCCACTTGTAGCTTAACTTTTTAGTTTTGAGACCTCATTAAATTTTGTTGCTGCAAGATACTATTTCTCTTCATTAGTCATCTGAGTAACCTCTCTCTTTCCAACAGCATGGCTGATACTAATCTCCAGGATAGTGACTCATTGCACCTTCTCAGTCTAACGTTCTCAGATGACATGAAATGGAAAGACTATATTGAATCCATTGCTAGCTCAGCTGCTAAGAAAATTTGTTCACTGTGTCATGCAAGACGATTTTTCTCTTCAGAATCTATCTATAAGTCTACCATTTGTCCATGCTTAAAATATTGCTGCCACATATGGTCCAGTGTCCCTGCTATTTACATTGAGCTCTTTGATAAAATCCAAAGTAGAATCAGCAATATTATTGGTCCAGATCTAGAGACTTCAGTCACTTTCCCATTACCGTAAGGTTGCCTCTCTGTGCCTTTTCTATAAATACTTACATGGTAATTGTTCAAATGAGCTCTTCACTGTGGTACTTTTTGAATATCAGTGCAGTTTCACTGTTGAGCTGGCTAGATGTAAACATAAATTCTATGCTAACAGTTTCTTTTCTCGCATTTTTGCTTCTGGAACTCCCATCTGGGCCCCATGTTTTCCATGCTTTTAATTTGCAAAAATTTAAATGCAATCAGTATCATCCCATCACTAATAGATAGCAGTCTATTAGTGATGGGATATTAATATTTTTACCAATTCTGATACAATTCCCGATACTGTTCTAAATTTCCAATTCTGATACCTACAATGATTAAAATTCATTGTTTCCAGGCCCTACAGTTCATTGGGGAAACTTAATAAACAAAGTATATTTATTAATAAAATATTTAGTAGAAAAATGAGTTTGGAAGCTTATGAAATAAAGTTAAATATCCTTTTTATTTAAAAAAAAAATTGGGTAAGAGTTTAAACAAGAACAATTTATTTAAGTAAAACATTTAAGTTAGCTACAGTTGATATATTGCTTTACTTTGGTTATCAGAAATCTTAAAAAAAAACTTCCAACCTACACTTTTTTGCTTGGCATTGGATACACTTGCCATAATTGAAGTCTGAAAATAAAACTGGTTAAAATTCAAAATTATCACTGTTAGATAAAAAATGTTTTTAGTTTTCTAATGTGTATAATTTGTAATACAATTTTTGATGGAAATTAAATTTTAGGTTTTTTAATAAAAACTTGTGTGAAAAAGCTTTTTTTCAGGTAACTTCAAATAAATTTTTTTTTAAGTAAATGAAGATGAAAATCTGTTTTGAAAGCTATAAAAGTTTAAGAAATACATGAATTTCATAGAAACAAAAAGTTGCATGAAAACTGTTTACATTTTTAAGTCTCAGTTAGTGAAAAAAAGATTTATTTTTGTTTATGTTGTATGCTATGTAAATAAAAGTAAATCTTTTCAATAACCAAGACTAAAAATCATTTTATGGATTAACACTACAATAAAACAAATTGTTGTAATTTAACTGCCTCACTATGAGGACAATTTGTTACACAAGGTCAAATTTTTTATGTGAAGAAATCAAATGTGATATAGGCGGGAATTCCAAACCTTCATTTTTTTTTTTTTCCTTTTTTATAAATTGAAAATAAAAATTGTCTTAAAAGAGAGCCAGGTAGAACAACAATGTGAATTCATTTTGTGACTATATTACATAATTTTGATTATAATTATTAAATTAATAATTTATATTAAATGGTGACTTAACAATATTTAGAAAGAAATTAAAAATAAAAATTCTATTTTGAACTGAAACAGACTTTAAACTAGTGAACTTTGTGGAAAGCTTGAGAATTGAATAGGAACTTGCACTTTTTTTTACACAAAATAAATTTACATCATACTTAGGTGTAATTATGCTCTATATATTTTGGTTTTGCTGATAGTTTAAAATCAATAAATATTTATATCTTTTTATCATTAGTACCAGGAATGAAAAATTAAGTTTTAAACAAAAAAAAAAAATCTATAGAATCATTTTTTGGATGGGAAATTAGGTTAAAAATTCTCTGATTCCAATGTCAATTCTGATACCCTAAAAAGTTCTGATATTTCTGATTCTCGATTCTGATTAATTGTCCCATCACTACTATCTACTGTCCTAATTTCTCTTTCCTTATATATGTTTTTGTTCCTAATTCTTCCACACCTTGTAACCCCTTGTGTCTTAGTGGCTTTACTGCCTTTCATGGAGTGATACCAATTTTAAAAAAAAATGCTCAGCAATTGACTTTTTCCTCATTTTACATATTTTACAAAGACTAAGACATCAGAGAGGGAATTGAGTAATCTCAAAAACATGTTAAAACAAATTTTATTGATGTTAGAAAACACAAGAATTGTATATTCTTGATTGTATTTATCAATTGAAAGATGTTATTTTTGTATGAGCAAATATATCATTACAGTTTGAATTTTCTATAAAAGGAGTTAATGGGTCAATTAGATTAACTCTTTAGATTTTTTTAGATTGAAATAACTTTGTAAATGATAAAAAAAATTACAAGTTCATACACAATATGCATGCTATTTGTAAAATCAAGAGGATTATAGAAAAGGTCATTTTGAAGAAATTGCTAAAAAGATTTGTCATGCTTAAGTGTTAAATTATATTTAGTTTTTGTGCTGGAATATTGATGTGTGGTGAAAATAAATTTTTGAAGTGAAAAAAAGGGAAATGTCAAAGTTTCAAGTCGACTTTTTTTTTTTTTTTTTTTTTTTTGCTGGTATCGAGGACTTGGTTAAAAGTCTTGTTATAATGGGTAGACTAGTGATATAGTAAATTTTTTCTTGATGGCAAAAGGGGTTGACAGTTTGCTATTATTTCTATGGATGACAAACTTTGGTTGTTGAGTTGTTTGAGTTTTTTATGACCTGATGAACTTTAAAACTGACTCACCAAAGTATAATCTTTTGCTTTTATAGTATATTATTTGTTTAAAATTTAACTTTATTCAATCAACCATAGTTAATGTGATAGGTATTGGGATGATTATGTTGTGAATGTGCATGTTGAATTGGCGCTAATTTGCTTTTTGTCGATACTAACCTGGTAATTTGAAGCCAGGAATAACTTGAATTGTAATGAAAGTAGCTGATTTTTATCTCAGTATATTTTGGGATTCAGAGGCAATAACCTCCAGTTGTCTTTCTGCTTATATATATATTCAACAGATAAAGCATTGTCACTTGTAAATTTTCTATTACTATTTTTTTTCATCATAGTTTCTCAGACTGGTCTGCAGCACTTATAAACAGCACAGATTGGAAATTAAAAAACTAAGTCTCTGGTAAGACTTAGATTCACATAACTAATTGTTTAACTCCATAATAAATTCTATTAGTATGTGAGCAAACAGCAAAGTTATTAGTATTCTTAATAATGTTAGCATTCTTAAAGTTTTAAAAATAAAAATAAACAAATTTGTAAGGTAAGAAATATTTTAAATACTTCTTTGGAAATAAACAAATGAACATTGCACAAGTTGTGTAAGCTATTATTCTTTTTTTTTTTTTTATTCTTGCCTGGAGAAAAGGTTTTCTTTTGTTAAAAGTGATTTTCAAAGCTACAGTCTTGTCTGTTCTTATCTAATGTATTATTTTAGTATCTCATAGCCTCAAAAAGAAGCCTTTTGTTTCACACAACAGTCAGCTTTTTGAGCCTGCAAAAACTCGTAAATGTTTATAAGAAATTTGGATGCTATAAAAGTTTTAGCAATAGACAATACTCTGATCAAAAGAAAATATGTTTTTCTTTTTTTTTTTTTTTTTGTGTGTGTGTGTATATATATATATATATATATATATATATATATATATATATAATGGGCACATGACAGAGTGGTTAGAGCATTCGCTTTCAGAGCATGAGAAATCTCACCATGGCCAATTTGTCAGGAAGGTGACTTCTTGGTGTTATCGATCTGGGGATGAGATCACAACGCGGCACCTTTGGAATGTACCTGAAAATCATACCACAGGTTGCCCCAAGCATTGTGAGTGAAATTGGGTAGACTTGGGAGCCATCAGTGGTCATGCTAACACAAGGTCACAAGTCATCGTGACTGAGGCTTTGAGTGTGCTAGCCTTGTTCAGAATGCTGATCATGCATTCTCTACCAGAAACTGTAACTAATGTCTGCTCAGCATAGTTGCAGTACAAGCCACAGGTGGGCTCCTTGGGTGTTGAAAAAATGTGCCTGAGCGGGCGTCTGCAGTCTGCAATGGGGATTAACTAGCTGCCCTAGTAGACTAGCATCCTTGGATTCAAGTAGCCGTGTCATTTACCTACCTATATATATATATATATATATATATATATATATATATATATATATATATATGTATATAATGTGTGTGTATTATATATGTGTGTATGTATTATATATGTGTGTATTATGCGTGTATTATATATGTGTGTTTGTGTATGTGCGTGTATTATATATATATATATATATATATATATATAAATAAAAAAATTTTTTTTAAACATTAAAAAAAATGATTAATTCATAGAATATCAAAAAAGTAAGCTCTATTGATACAAACTTTTTATCTGATAGTGAAAATCAGTTTCAACACAAATAGAGGTTAAATCTTGAGAAGCATAATCTTGGAAGATTGATACTGCATATTCTTTAAAAAAAAAAAGTTGTATTTGAGTTGTTTTTTAATTGATTGATTTTCTACGGCTTATCAACCCTTTTCCAGGCTATTTAAAACCAATAATTTTTTAGATTTTAAGAAAAAAAAAATTTTATTTATTTATTTTTTTTTTCAGATAATAATGATTTAGTTATAATAGTTTTACTAATTAACACATAGCTTGAGGTAGAATTGTATTCATACCTTTCCCAAGCATATTTGCATGTAAATGAATAAAACAAACACAACTGGAATCGGAACTCTGATTAACAGATTCTGAACCATTATCCATTACACCAACTGCACATCTAAGCTTACAGAACTTAGTATTCACAAGAGGTCACCCATCTAGGTACTGACCAGGCCCAGTGTTGCTTAACTTCAGTGATTGCAAAGGAACCAGTGTTTCAACACGATATGGTCATAAGTAATTATTTTTTCTCTCTTTTCCGTAATAAACAGCTGACGCTGAAATAAACCACATTATGAGAGAAATGAGATCTGTGGAAGGCATCATATTTTTATAGCCATTACTTAGAATGGTAAGAGAAACAATACATTAGGTACAAGAGGAGTAGAAAAAAGATGGACAAGGTTGGTCTGGAAAGTTTCCAACTATTGAATAATAAGGAAAAATCCTTTACCTAAGGCAGTGGCACCTTCATCCGCTTCAAAATACTTCCTTGCAATCCTTACATTTATCCCAGTATTCCTTCTACTTTCTATGTCTGCAAAGTCTCTGTTTAGAATTTTTGTATTTTTCTTGGTCCTTAATCTAATCCACTATTTAAAAGAAAATTCCTCCCTTTCAACAACAATTTCTTATCTATTTTTATATAGCATTTTGTAAACCCAGAAATCATAGGGAATCATATATGGATTGTGGGTGGAGCTGATAGACCTGTGATGCAATGGTTATACAGTACACAAATTCACCCAGAAGTGTTTCACTATCAACTGAGTAACCCAACAAAAGACTATCTATTCATATATATGCTGTAAGATCTCTGATTAGTTGCCAATCAAGTTATGTCAAAGTCTACATAATAATAATTTTATATATTAAAAATGCCTGGATGATTTCTAAACAAACCTAGTAAATAGTTGGCCAGAAGATAAATATATACTGAAAAGGCATATTTTTATACAGATCAGAAGAAAAAAATCTAATGTAATAATTTATGAATAGTCAGTTTCCACCTATGTATCGGTCATAACTTATTCCAGTAACTTCCCCCGGACAACAGCCTGTTGTTCCTCTAGTTTTACCTTTAGTGGGCAGATAGTTTCACTTTGTATTCTTTATCACAACTGCATGGGAGGAATCTACACAGATCTTGGTCATGTTCTATTTTAAAGGGGACTTGATTAGTGAGCAATATCTGTGAAGGATTGAACTGCATTTGAATTCCATCCTGATATTGGATGGATTGTAGATCTGAATCTGATGCACTCCATGGATGAACTGTTGTCTAAATTGCACAAAAAATGAAAATAACACTGACATCTCATTTTAACAAATATTTTTACCAAAATTACATAAAGATATCTTGAAATACTAAACAGTAATTTTATTCAATAAAATAGTCATTGGCTTCTACCACAGCCTTCAGATGACTTCAGAATCTCTTGCAACTCTTCTGGACAGTCTCCTTGGTTAAGTTGATGAATGCTGCCATACTCCTTGCCTTCAGTTCATCTTTGGTGTTACAAGGAGTTTTGTCAGTCTCTCGCCCAACTGCACCCTATACATAATAACCAACAGGGTTGAGATCTGGGGAGTTAGATGGCCAGATGTTAGGGGTGATGTGGTGGCAGAAATTGTCTGACAACCATGACTGGGTTCTCCTGCTTGTGTGGCATGGTGCAGAGTCCTGTTACCAGATAAAGGGTCTTCCAACAGTCACTTTCTTGACCCAGAGCAACACTAGCTCCTCCAGGCACTTGATGTAAATCTCCATGTTGAGTCTGAGGCCATCACCAACAAATCCAGGAAATTCTTTTCTTATCAGAATGATCAGAGTGAGTTTTCAAAACTGCTGTACCTTCATAATCACCATTACACTTGTCCAACTCTTTCCAATTCCTTTGCAGTGTCCTCAGATTGACAGCCAAACACTCTGAAATGTTCATATTGGAGCTTCTGATGTGAATGTCAAGCAATATAGCATGCCATTTCCAAATTTCTGGCAGAGTGAATTGTGTCATGATGCTCTTTTTCTCACAGATGGTGCACAGCTAACCCTACTATACTGTGCAGTTGATAAAATTAAAAACAATGGACATGCGTGAAATTAAAAATATAAAATGGCGACAATTTACTCATCTCACCCTGTATGTATGATAGATTTTTTTATTGTTGTCCTCGATCATTCTGCCCTAGCTTGTGGAAGCTGATGTTATAATTGTAGGTTAGTTGTTTCCTTGAAGGATGTTTTTAATGCTGACCCTCTTCACTTGATATGTGTCTGGATCGCCACTTATGAGTTTGGCTCATGTGTTTATAAACAGTGGACAATCTCTTTCTTAGATCTATATAAATAGTTGGAATTAAAGATCATATATTATCTGGTAAATTACAATATATAGAAATCTTTAACCTATATTGGCGTCATTAGTATATCCAAGAAAACCAGTTGATCTGCATCTTTTTCTCTTGTGAATTTTATGGAAGACCTTATTGACCTTACATGGTCCAGTAGTATTGGCATATCTGTATGGTGGGGCCAGAATATAAAGGTATTAACTATGTATCTAAGCCACATAGATTGCTTTTAGTAATGAGGTTCCTATTGCAATTTTCTCAAAGTATTCCATATATATGATTGCCATTACAGGAGATAATGGTGGTCACATAGATAAGCCTTCTTCCTGTTGGTAGATGGAGCTGAATTGAAAGTATGCTATTTCTATGCAAAATGTCAGCATCTCAATTAGGTTATCTATTGGGGCAATTGAATACTCTTTGAGAGAAGGATCTGATTCTAATTTCTCTTGAACAACTGATAGCCTCTTTTACAGGAACATTGGTGAATACGCTTGTAACACATTTACTTGGTGTGAATGTGAAGACTATCAATGATTTTTTTTTCTTAGATAAAATGTTCTCATTATTTATATGTTGACTATTGTCCTCATCTTTATCACAATTTGTTTTGCCCTTCAGCCTTCATCAGATGTATGTTGATCTGGGTAACTTACAGAATAAACCCTTTATTTAATCAAAGGGGGTAAACTTCTCATTCCATTGCCCATGTCTAGGGATATCTCATCTAGTTTTATTTTTAAAATTACTCCGTTATTGCTTGCCTTGTTTCCACTGAGTTCAAGATCACATTGCCTGGCCCAGAGATTGAACTGACAATTACTATGTTGCCAAATTCTTGAATCAGTGCTTTAATCTAGCTAGGCTATTGTCCCATGATAACAGCAACAAAGATGGAGACAATAGCCCACATGTAAATAATGTAAGTTAAGACTGTAGGGCAGGAAGCTTGATGGAACCTGCACTTGGATGGTGAGAACTATACTTAACATGTGGAGACAACATCCAACTAAATCACAGCTCTATGGACCCATCCCTGATATAATGCAGAATGCATTTTGCAGGATACTGCTGACAAGCAGAACAAGAACAATGAACCTACAGTCATGGAGCAAGACAAGTTGACCCCAGCAACCATTATGACCAGCAAAACACAAAATACCCCCTAATGTCCTTCTGACCTTGATACAGGACCATGATGATTGGCATGATGAACTCCTGAATGTCTGAGCTAACTTGATAGAATAAAAATAAAAAAATAATGTAAATAACTATTCCAAGTAACTATTCCCAATTTTGGATTGATGGGCATTAATTAATACTGGATATTTGGATTAATGGAGCCTATAATTAATATGGGATTTTTTTTCTTTTAGAAACCTATAATTAATATTGGATTTTTATTTTAATATTTATAATTAATACCAGATTTGATGGTGGATGTTATGTGGTTAACATGTTCATGACTACCTTTGATATTTGAACCCTTATATAATATCATCTGATTTTGGTAGGGTTACCAATAAAAATTATAATGTAAGACTATGGTTTTATTTTGGTAAATAAAATTAAATTTATTATTATTTAGTAAAGAGTGATGTTAATGTGCATTGCCAATTTTGATTTGTTTTTTTTTGTTTTGTTTTTTTTTACTCCATAGTACCATGAGAAGTATTTATGCATAATGCCCATTTCTTTGCTAACATTATCTCCTGCAAATCAAAGTCAAATTGTGACACTGATAAGGTTCTTATTTTTATTCAGAGAAATTAAAAACAAGAAAAAAATGGTAAGCAAAAGTTTATGGAAAAATACATCCTTTTAAATAAATACATGGAATGGAATAGACATATGTATCAGAAGCAATACACAATATGCCACAAGACATACATACACATTGTGTGAAAATAAATGTTTTAAAAGAACAACAACATTGGAGAAAATTCCACCAGAGGAAAGCTAATAAATAATTGGCCAAAATGTTGTGAAAGGAAAAACAAAAAATGATGAGGAAAGGAAAAGAGAACAATTCATTAAATGTTAAGTGTTCACTTGATACTGGCAAACAATACTGATCAAATAGATTAATAATTGGATTAATAATTAGATTAATAGGATGGGATGATATTATCATTCCAATATGTCTGGCAGTTCACAGTAGAAAAGGGGAGAGGAAATGAAGGAGTTGAGTAAGTGAATTCTGGAATTGTAACATAGACCTCACCCACAAATATATATTTTTCTCATGCAATGGATGACTCCAAAAGAACATTTTCGTTCTTTTATGACTGTTTATTCTGATTATACTCATTGAGTTTTCACACCAGTAGTTTCTAGTATCTTTTATTGGTGATCAAGTGAAAGTCTTCTCAGTACTCTAGTACACTTTTCAGGATTCTTGTCAATTTTAGTCATCTGCGTCAAGATGGCTTTAACTCTTCTTCAAATGTTTAGTTCTTCGACTTTTTTTTTTTTTTTTTTTTTTTTTTTTTTTTTTTTTAAAAGCCTCTTCATAACTACTGTAATCATACCATTAATGATGGGTACAACTGCCATATATTTTTCTTTTGTCCAGACATCTTTCTCAGATTTTTCCCATTTTTTTCAATTTTACTTTGTAGTCAGCTTGAACTTCTTGACAGATATCTTTCTTTTTGTTTATAAATCTGATCTCCTAGCTTGAACTGGAGAATCCATTAGAATTTCAAAGTCTTATAGAATTGTCTGTATTCTTATTCTCATGTGCACTTATGGTTTGTGTATATACACATTTCTTTCTACCAATATCCATTTTTATGATTCTCCAGAGTCAACTTGCTGAATTCACATATACAGGGTGTCCATAAAGTTCGTGTGCACTTTAAAAAATTTATAACTTTAT